AACAACACCAACAACAGCAGCAGCAGTAGCAACAGCAACAGCAACAGCGGCAGCAACAGCGGCAGCAGCAACCAGACTATGAGCAGTATCACCATGCACGTCAACATGAAAATTATCACTACCAGCATCAGCTGCGCTACTGTCATCCTCAACAGGGACCGAAGCCGTCGTCATGACTAGGACTAGGACACACTCTCCATAATCATCATCATCATCGTCATCACCAACATCATCAACGACAACCTCAATGATGATGATAGTAATAAAATAACAACATTATCTACTCACTATCATCACGATCGTCTCTGGAAAATGAATGCTCTAGCAGCACAGGTGCGGGCCATCCGGGAAACATGCTTGTGGCAAGAGGGTCACGACGACAGAAGTGCAAAAAACTACCTTACACAAATGAACACGAGGCATTGAATGTCCGTGACATTATATAGAAGTTACGAGTTGGAGACCTCGAACTCGCAACTCCGCACCTTAGCCTAGGCTCCGCCATGAACCGCCCGCCAACGCGAAGCCTGAAGCCTGAAACCAGTTTGGGGTTTAGGGCTTAGGGTCTGAGCATGAAGCCCAGGTCTCAAGCTCTCTTTACACAGCCCCAAACCCAAGTCGGTCGTGGCACGCATGCGACGCACGTCCAGCATGTGCTGACGCATCCCTCGGAGCTCCTTTGCTGGAGTCACGGGAAAGACGGTGTATAGAACCAGTGCTGCTATTACTAGTACTAATATGACAGCTCTAACCTTATTGCTATTGCTAGTCATTACGAACACAACAATCCTGTTAACACAACTGCTCCTGCTCACTGCCATTGCTGTCACTGCTATTGTTTCTGCTCGTCCTGCTGCCGCTGCTGCTACTGCTACTTACAGCTGTCGCTGCCGCTGCCGCTGCACGCTGCGCGCTGCAGCTGCTGCTGCTTCTGCTGCTCTGCCACTGCCACTGCTGCCACTGCTACTGCTCCTTCTCCTTGTGCTGCTGCTGCTGCTGCTCCTGCTACTGCTGCCGCTACGGCTACTGCCAGCTATTGCTGCTGCTGCTGCTGCTGCTGCCGCTTCTGCTGCTCCTGCTCCTGCTACTGCCACTGCCACTGCTACCGCTACTGCTACTGCTAGCGCCACCAAATCTCCCACCAGTTCAAGTGCTGTACTATGCGACAACAATATTCAACGATGAAGGACTGAGTCTTGAGTGTATACCCCTTGGCCCTGAGTCTTGAAGTCCACACCCCCAACTGTTTCGCTTGCGGTGTTGAAGGCTTGGTGTAAACATTAGCACTTTGGCTTCGGGCTTCACGGCTTCAGGGGTTGTGAGCTGCGGGTTTCAGCGGCTTCCACACCTGCATATCCAAACCAACCATGAGAGGTGTGAACGGCCGACTCAATTCAGACATACACAAAACAGAAATCACGGTAGTATAGAAGCCTCAATCAATTGGAATACTGTAGCCTACGACCCTACATCCACGGTATGCCCTTGAATCAGCGGGTTACTAATCATAAACATGTTGCCTTAGGAACCCTGAGGGAATAGTTTTGGTAGTTAGCTCTTCAAGCGGCTATATTACATTTACATCCTCTCCCAAACCCATCCCTAGGTAGTATTATTAGGGGTACCCCTTAAAGGGTACCCCTTCTGAACCCTACTTTTGGCTCTCTTGAAAGGGATCTTATTGAGAGGGTCTATATCCCCAAGGGGTCCCCTAATCCTAGCCCCTAAACCCTAAACCCTAAACCCTAAACCCTAAACCCCTAATCCTAGCTCCCAATCCCCTGACCCAGGCCAGTTTGCCGAGGAGCCAAGTTTGGGTCAATGCCCTTCTGCTCCTGGATGTAGACCTTTCGCCTGCGCGGTTTAGGGTTTAGGGTTCAGGGTTTAGGGTTTAGGGTTTAGGGTTCAGGGTTCAGGGTTTAGGCTTTAAAAACAGCCCGAAACACCGAAGCCGCTCGTTTTGCTACCGCCAGCCAAGCAAACGGCACTTCAGAAGACCCTATGGCCTTACTGCGAGGAAGGTCGCATGGGAAGTTCAGAGTTTGGGGAGCCCGTATGAGAAAATCGGTCCGATCACCTCCAAAACTGTCAAAGCCACGTCATGCCAAAGTCCTCAAAACTCTCAAACCCCTGCTGCCAAAACATCCGTGTCGACACAACACGCCAATCAGCATCCGGCCTCTCATCCCAGAAGGTATTCCTTGAAGCTTAAGGCTTCGGGGTGTTCTGGTTGCATTTATGTATATTGCTCGTGGCGTTTGTTTGACCACTACTGTTTGTCTTGATGGTACTAATTGTGCTGGTGATCCTTTCTATTGCCTGTCACGAAACATTAGCTTTGCCAGCCTTGTGGGTGCTGCCGCTGAATCCTCGCGTTTCGTTGTCAAGCATTGGTGCTGTCTTTTCTTCCGGTATAGGTGAATTTAACAACTTGGGCGCTTATTCGCGTAGCTATCTCGCTATCTGTTCACTGTATCTAGCTATGTAGCCAGTTGTAGTCGCCTTCTGCACCCAACTCGGTCCAACACGCAGCTTTGAAGCCTGGGGTTGAAAGGGCTGGGGGCTTGGGGTTTAGGGCTT